ATTGTTGAAAAGATAGTGCATATACCAAAACCATTCCCAGTGATAAAGCACATACCATACCCAGTCGAAGTTAAAGTACCCGTGCACATCGAAAAGCCGGTGCCATATCCAGTGGAGAAGAAAGTACACGTACCTTATAGAGTCGAGGTGGAAAAGAAGGTGCCGGTACCCTATAAAGTGGAAGTGGAAAAGAAAGTGCCAGTTTTTATACATGCACCACATGTGTCTCATGAACCCTACAAGTTCGAACACCATGAACACGAGCACAAAGAAGATGCGCACGAGCATCATGAAGAGAAGCACGATTACGAAGAGCACAAACATTTTGAACATCATGACCTTTCCGGATACCCCACCAATCAGAATGCCAATTACGCTAAGTTACAACAACAGCAACCTAGGCATATAACAAATGGCGCTAAAGCAGTGTTAGCTAAAGCGCATACACCTGCAGCGGCTGCAGCTATACGCGCCGAACTGCTGCATCAGCAAGTACAAAACTTTGGATATAAAATCGCTACCAGCACTACGCCAACGGATCTCAATCAATCTTCAAGCGAAAATAAACCACAAATGGTACGTTTTGAGCCTACATCGGAAAATAAATTCGGTGTTAAACAATCCACACCGGCAACCCCGTCAGATCTCGAGCCATCTGCCTCGGAAAACAAACCGGTCGTAACACATTTTGAGCCAACGGCTCTACCGTTTCGAATACACGTAGATGATGGAGTGGCAGCAGGAGATGGTAGTTCATCGTTAGGTGGCCCATCAACCGCTAATGATATGCAAGCTCAGGCCAGCACTCATAGTTTCCGTATGCTGGCGCGCCTCCAACCTATCGCGATGCCACTGCAGGTTTATCAATTGCATTCTATGCCGTTCCAACAGCCACTCGGCTTCTCATTGCCTGCAATACGAACGGTAGTGCCGAGTAGCACACCCTGAATATGTCAGGAATAAAATGAAAGACATGGTTCGTAAGACTGAGCAAACTTAACGCGCAAAATAGATTTAAGCCATGATTTATAACATAATTTTCTATATAATTTACTGTTATAAGATAAAATCTTTATATGCATTTGAAATTTGATAAATTTTTTAATGATTAAGAGCTTGAATGTTGCCCAGAAATCCTAAGAATACGAACTGGTAAATGAGTCTCCTACAAACTCTTCCCCGCACGCCGAGGGTAGACTTATTGGTCACCACCGACACGGTGGATTGGTGGGTCGAAGCCTTCAGCTCGGCATGTAAAACTGCACTGAAGAGCTCCTGCCCATTGAAAGCACGAAAGCTGGAAGAAACCTATCTGATGGACTATAGATTTGTCGGAAATGAGAGCGTACTCCAAGCTTTTATTCAATAAGGCCCGTAGGAGTGGGTCAACTGACGACTGGGCGCTGTATCAAACGGGACTTGCAATATACAAGTCCGAGCTACTGAGGTAAAGATTACTTCTTGGAAAATCTTCTGCGAAAAAGTGGAGGACTGCCATGTGTCCTCTAGATTCAGGCGTATTCTCGCAAAGCACCCCATCTTTTCGGGTTATGTTAAGAACGTAAATTGGAAGTAGACCCTGAAAAGTGAGGATAGACTTCGGGTGCGCCTTGATGCTCACTTCCCAAGCAACATGTTCTCTAGGGAGTGCTGCAATACGATTTCCCTTTGTCGACCTTCTGGAAGAACTGCACTTGACCTGGGCGATCAATTCGTTCAAACCTTTCAAGTCCCTAGAACCGCCTCTTCAGGTGTTCTTAGCTCCATTAGAAAAAAACCAAAAGTACCATTTATTGAATACTTTGCAAGGTCTATGCCGATACTTTGTCCTACCATAATGAAGAGGAACCGCGTTTAGATGGAGGCATCTCAAGATTCGAAAATAGATAGGTTTAATACATTCAAATAAAACAGAAAAAAATTGATACCTACGTATTAATATAGTAAGAATGGCGTCTACACTTAATTTTTCTGGAATTAAAGTACACGAACACAACCTCGACACTTGGCGGTAAGCAACTGAAACGGATTTGTAAGTACGGTATAAAATAAATATCGAGGGGCGATATCCCGAAGCGAAGCACTATTTTGTTCCTTGACAGGAAGCATGCGGCACTCGTGAGTAAATAAGAATCTTCTTCGTCTGCCTTTTACTACATCCAATTTTTGACAATTCCAACTCTAGGCGGATCCTACTCTCACAGGATGGCTTTTGATTTAGGCCACGAACTATTTGGGCGTTTATGACGCTATGTGCTGTGGTGCTGCTGAAGCTCACAGATCTTTGGCTGGACAAAATCCTCGTCAATTCCGGCAACATAGAACCGACTGTTGTGGAATTGGATTAAACAAGGCCTTGGTAGTAAACCAGAGCTTACTCACACCGATGGAGAGGTGGCAAAAGTGCTCAACCCAGTTTGTTCGCGGATATTAGATCACCTTGTGACAGGAATGGGTAGTGCGGTCAAGGGGTTCTCGGTAAATTTAGTAAGTTCCTTAAGTTTATGAGATATTGATCTGAAATTTGTCACACGTTCTTTACTCACTAAGAAGCTGCGGTACTGCCGATGTCTGACGTTTATAGCGTATTACAAATTGAATGAATAAAATCTTATATGGAAAACTATTTTTTCTAGATTGGAAAAGACAACTGAACAATTTAACGTTATGTTAGCTAAGAGCTTGTTATTTAGAGCAATTTCAAATTACATTGAGCACCTTCTGTATTGCTGCTGGTATATGGGCTTTCCTCCGAATGGAGGAAAACACTTCGGCTCTGAGAATGCTCGACGCTATACCCGCCGAGGAAAATAGAGAAAGACCTCAACTCCGTTGAAAAGGCCAGGTGGAGAAGAACCTGGCTACATTTGGAATCTCTAGGTAGGTCTTACGGAATTTTTTTTTTACTTTACTAATGTGTTATTTAGAATGCAGATAAGTTGAGCTGGTGATAAGACAACTACGATGTACCTTTTACTTAGGAAATTGTTGACCTTACCAATGTGTAAAGGTCGGTAATTTCATCCTCGTGTTATACTAAATATAGTTGTCACTATTACATAACAGTCCTCTAAATAGGTTAGACGTTCTCTATGCAGGATTTTGTAAGTGCCGCAGTTCAGTAGCAATGATATACTACAGCATTATCATTTGATATATGTAATCAGGGGTGTTATGGAATCCAAGAGAGATTTGAATAGTTATCGGAATTGCAAACCAATTCTGATTTTCGATGGTGTTACAGAATTAGAAAATTAAATATTGTATTTTTTTCCAAAACCTTAATAATTAAAACATTTCGTGTTTTATTCTTACTTTTTCTCCTATAGAAATATAAATAAATGAATTCGTAACAATAAAATAACATGATTTCATTTCAAAACTGTCAGCGACTATCTTCTTGATTTGTGTCTGATACCGATAAAATTGTTTTCCGTGACACCCAAAACCGACACAAATTCTGTTTCGAACACCAAACCAATAATATTCTGACAACTATCAGATTCCACAACACAATAATAAAGATATTTGTTGTATAAAGGACGTTAGTCGCTTTTTTACTTAATACTTACGTACATTTCCTAATCCTTTTATTTGAATTTTGAGACATATTAGGACATTTTTAAACAATTTTTAATTCAATAAAAATAATGTTTGACACCTTACTACACTTGTATAGTAATGAAAAACCTAAAATTATAACTTTATATTAAATAAAACAAACAGCTAAAAACTAGGTATCGAGGTATTTAGTTTCACATCACTTGTTCTTGTTTTAGCACACCTGCTTCTTCCAGTAATTGGTGAAAGCCATCTGGTATGTTACCTTCACTAAGTTCTGTGCTCCATTTTTTTAACTAAAAAAAAATTATGAATTTTAAAATAAATTTGATTATTCCAATAGTTGTTTTTATTGACCTACTCGCTCCAGTTCTTCACGCAAAGCCAAAACAGCCTTTTCGCGATCGGCTACTAGTTCTTCCAAGTACTGGTAACGTAATTTTTTACGTGCTCGACATTCCCGAGCACTTTGACGACTGCGCTCTGGAATTTAATGAAATCTTTTATTACTATATTCCTATTCGGCTTTGCTCTGATAACACTACCAACCTAATTTAGCTCTTATATCCACTTTTTCCGTGGAAGCTTTACGTCCTGGTTTACGTCCCCTTTTTCCCGTCTCTTTGCGTTCCTGAAAATATCATACAAAACGAAATTAATCCGATATCATACAAACATTCAATACGCCATCTCACAAGAAATTCTTTATTTAAATGTTTTAAAATTTAAGGGTTGATTCTTTTGTTCTTAAGCGAAGCTATGCCTTTATTCCAACTAAAAAGTACAGCCAAACCATTGCGTAGTATTTAATGTGTAAATTCGAATGGTGTTTCAAATATAAAAATTAAAAGCTATTGAATATAAAAAAAAAAGTGAATCGTTCTTTGTAACTATTCAAAAATGAGCAACTACGCATTAAAGCTCATTAACGTCCTTGAACTTTACGACACCCACAATAGTTAATAAGTATTACTCACTGAAAGATTTGGCTCTTCTATGACTTGCATTTCATCACAATCCATTTTTTATTCAATGTTTGTTAATCTGAGTGATTTATACTTAAAACTCACAAAGTACAAAAAGTTATTCTTTCAACTACACTGCGTTTATAAAAAATTGTTTGTTTTCTTTGTGTTCTAATAGGACTGTCAAACTTAAGTAAAAATTTTACAAAAATGCCGCAGATGTCGCAAGAGTCATATAAATTCACAATGCATTTACACTAGATTCATAATTATAAACGTTGGTATTTTCTAAAATAATCAATTGAGATATTAACACAAGTATTCATTTACTAACAAAATATTGGTTTTTTTTTATATATAAGAAATGGTTATTTCATATATTATTTTAAATAAATATTTTTTCTAGGGCAATATAATGTGGCAACATGTACATGTGTCTAAATACCGTTCTTAGCGGCAATTCACAATAGATTTGGGCCGCGTATATTGCTATTTTGTTCTTGTGTTCTTATTGATTTTAAAAACAAAATTTGCTTATTTCGTAGTAAAATGGATAAAGTCGAACAAAATGATGGCACTAATCGTGATGAATTGATTATGCAGCAACAACGAGAAATCGAAAAAGAGGTATGTGCAGAATTATAGCATTAATTAAATAGAGGTTTTGTTTGTTGGTTTTGACAAAGAACTGTCGTCCAGCCTCCACTCAACAAAGACCAAACACTTAAAATTTTGTTTCGGTCTACACACAGATAAGTGATTCGACACCATTGGTAAGTGAACAACTGCCCATAACTTGCCTTAATGCTGAGTATCTGGGTGATGAAGTTTTCACATCAAAAATTCAAGATCTTGCCGGCAAGTATAAGTTCTTACGACGCACCCGCCCTGACGGAAATTGCTTTTTTCGTGCATTCGCTTATGCTTACTTAGAACATTTAATATCCAACAAAGATGAATATCTACGATTCAAAGACTTGGCGGAGAAATCGAAAGATAAGCTAGTGCAGTTGGGATTCCCTAGTTTCACGCTAGAAGACTTTCATGATACCGTACGTATACTTTTATATAAATTACTTTTAGAATATAACAATTAATTATTTTCACTTTCCTATAGTTTATGGAAGTCGTTAAACGTGTAGACCCCGTAAGCGGTTCCACAGACCAAGTATGTGACGAGCTGCATAAAGTGTTCAATGAGCAAGGCTACTCTGATTATGTAGTAGTCTATTTACGCTTACTCACTTCTGGAAAGCTGCAAGAAGAGGCTGATTTTTATCAGCACTTCATTGAAGGAAATTTTACAATTGAGGAATTTCGTCATCAGGAAGTGGAACCAATGTATAAGGAATCAGATCATATACATATTATTGCACTCTGTACCGCTTTAGGTGTAGGCGTGCGCGTAGAATATATGGATCGGGGTGATACACATGTGAAGGCGCACGACTTTCCAGAGGGTAGTACACCAAAAGTTTTTCTAATTTATCGACCGGGTCACTACGATATTCTGTATCCCAATTAAAATCTAAACTAGAAGATATCAATGCCTCAAAGCAAGGAGCTAAGCTCCGCTGCTTTTCTAATTTGCTATTTGCTAAGAATATGTTAAATGTACGTATGTATATTATTTGTGGCTCTAATTGTGTATTAGGCAGCTTGAATTGATTTCCTACTTGTTTACATACATTAACGAGGTCTAAATAATTTCAAATGATATTATGATCATACGAGTAATTCAACTGCAATTATATTTTGGATTTATAAATACATTATAATCAATTCTTTTCGAAATTTCGCGATATTTCATACGAATAAATTATGGAGATATATTGCAATAATTACTCATTAAATTAATATTTTCCTAAAAATACAAATTAAAACTAAATGTTCTTGAAACAATGTAAATATGTGTTTTGCGATTACTAAAGTAAATTATTTCAACTAGCACACGATTGTTGTAAGACAAAATGAAATAATTTCATTAATGCAACACAACTGAACCAGCTAAGTGAATTCTAAAAAAACAGCAAGTGAAAACGTTAACTTCTTCTGCGCCGAAGCCATATGCCCTTCACAGCTGAATTTCTTATAGCATAAAAGCGCATAAAAAGATATATCCATCTATCTTGAGTTTGATCGGTCAGTTTATTAATTGTTGTTGTAGCGGCAGTAAACATTCCTGAAGTAATTTCGAGGAATGATGTCGAGTTGACAGCCTTGGCCCTATACAAATCCGTTGCAAATTTTCAGAATGATATCTCAAAAAGTGAGGGATTATATAGAATTACTGCTGGTAATAGCACCTTTAAAAACAGACAAATCATAAAATTTCAAATTATTTCGCCTAAAAGGTCGACTGTTAAGAAAAACTCTAGATTTTTGTCTGTACGAATATTTATTCTACTTTTCTGTAGCAGTTATATAATATTTCTATAAACAAGTAACGTATTTGCCTTCCCGAAGTATATAAAAATTATACAATAAATTCTCTAATTTACTTTAATCTCTTGCGCTAAAAACGAACAAACTAGCTATGAACATATACATATATATATATTTATTCATTGCTTTACTCTTTAATTTTCTTTTAATAATGAACTAATGAGTCAATTTCTATTATTATTATTATATTGGACACGTTCGTTGACACTTTTTTTTTTACTCATTACATGTTTTATATTTTGTGTAAGTGTGAGCGCTGGGCTACTGTTATGTGTGTATAAAATAATTTATAATTGCACATGCAGCTTGCGCTTTTACAACTTAGCATCCGTTGTAACTAGTCAATCTGCAGAACAGACGGCCATAGCTTCTCCTTTCTCTTCCTCCAGTTCCTTGCCGGTGACAGCCAACTTCGATTTGGCAAAGTCATCCAATTGCAAACCTTGTACAATCTTCCATTTACCATTGCTGATTTCTACTGGGAATGAGAAAACAACATCCTTGGGGGCACCGTAGCTACCATCCGAAAGCACACCCATCGACACGAACTGACCAGATGTGGTTCCATGCCACCAATCGTGCATGTGATCGCATGCCGCTTTAGCCGCCGACATGGCCGATGACATTTTTCGTGCAGCAATAACAGCAGCACCACGCTTCTGCACGGTTTCTACAAAGTTGCCTTGCAAAAAGGCAGCATCGTTGACAGCATCCCAGACGCGCTTGGTGCTGCCGTTAATTTCAACAATACCATTGCTGGGGTCAGGGAATTGTGTAGACGAGTGATTACCCCAGATAACCACATTTTTAACGGCACTAATTGGTACGCTTAATTTAGCAGCGATTTGTGCGGTAGCACGATTTTGATCCAAACGGGTCATGGCTGTGAAATTCTCACGTGGAATTGATGGTGCATAGTGTGAGCATACCAATGCGTTGGTATTGGCTGGATTGCCAACAACCAGGACCTTAATATCCTTGCGTGCGTGCTGGTCGATAGCTTGACCTTGTGCCTTGAAGATTTTTACATTGGCGGACAACAGATCCTTACGTTCCATACCCTCTTTGCGTGGCATGGCGCCGACCAAAAAGGCAGCGGCTACATCCTTAAATGCTACAGCGGGATCGGCGGTGGGGATAACTTGACGCAAGAGTGGCAGAGCACAATCGGCCAACTCCATGACAACACCCTCAAGTACTCCCATCATTGGGGGAATATCGAGTAAATGCAAAACTAAAGGTTGTTCCTTGCCGAACACCTCACCGCGTGCAATCATATAAAGCAGAGAGTATGCGATCTGACCGGCAGCACCAGTGACAACAACACGAATTGGCTCAGCCTGTAGATAAAGGAAAAAAGTTTCGTCACCATAAGAAGAGAAGTAAATTTAATATCGAAATAAATGAGTAAAAAATAGAGAAGACGGGCAGGTTGTAACAAAAATATTTAGTAGCTGTAAAATTCATACAATATTTATTAATTTCATTATTGACAAATTTAGCTAAATAAATCTTTCAGTACTTAGATACAATAAATGTTTTATTCTTAAGGTGTAATATAGTATACAGTAGTGCATTTATTTATTCTACATCTATTCTACAATTCATACGTTCATATAGCTTTAAATATTGGCACCATTCCCTTAAAATATTCCTGAAATGCAATCTAAAATATTTTGTTTTTAAGTAAACATCAGTTTCTTTCATTGTCACATAAACAAGTTGCTAATTATAGATATAAAATTTGTCGCGGTGATGCTAAAAAAATATTAATAGCCATATTCCCACTCAGGTTCTCTTTCGAGACAGCTGACATATCCCTGATTTTCTCTCAATAAAAAAATAGTGCCTTCCGATAGATGGTAAACTTTGTAAAGTCGTGTTATTGGCCGTTAGCATTATAGTAGGTGTTGTAGTGATGCCAAGAAAGAATGAAGGAGCATTTGTTTATTACGTTACCTTCCTCAACTATTAATTGCTTTGGGTGCATGTTATCTTTAAATTTTCATTTTGTTTATGTGCTTAGATCCTGGATGTACATTAATTATGCATATGTATATAATTCAATAGTATTCCTTAAAATAGATTCCATTTGAAATTAAAAAAAAATTAACATCAAAGTATGCAAGTCAGGTCAATTTATTGAAACTAAAAGTTTATAAATAAGCATCACTACGCCTGACAACAAAGCAGATGTCAAACAGACGAGCCTCCGTTACACAGTCGTACAATAACAATTGCTTATCTTTATGAATTGGGTTGGAATTATCACTTTATATGTTCATATGTATATCGTTGACAAATGTGCTTTGTTATACTCGTATTATGTACGCAGAATTGGCATTTCAAAATATAATCGCAAAGTAAAAATTGATGCGTGAACGAGCGTTAGTACGCATATACATAATTACTTATTTACAGAGGTGTTTTAAGACGTAGTTCATTTACTAATCTTGTTTTTATTTTTCAAAGATATTTTGAAAAATCTAATTATCAAAAGCATATTTTCTACAGTATCAATTTTTGGTTTGGAAATTCTATGGCCGTATTAATATGACGAGCAATCATATACATAGTTATTGTTAAATATTTTCATTGATAATTGAAATTCGGTATATAGAAAATTATTATATAATACACAATCTTCCGTTACGTGACCCTTGGCTTTGATAAGCACATATTATGGCAAATGAGAAATGTATTCCCGTATAAGAATACATCTAAATATAATTTCTGTACATGAATGTATGTAGTTTCCGGCCGGTACGCTGCATATACCTAATCACTACCCCAGATTTCCAGGTCATCTTTTTTGTCTCAATCTACCACATATTCCTATCAATTTATATGCAAATTTTTGCATTTATGCTATCACACACAGAAATAGTACCAGCGGAAACGTTTAGTTTTTGTTGGTATCTCTTTTTTGCCAACAACAGCGTGCGTTTGTAATTTAGTGTGTCCAGATAATCAAAGTCCCCTATTAATAGCGAACCGAAAATTTCAAGTTCATATTTGCTGACGTACTGGATTTGGCACATATATTCCGACAGAATAATTTAATATTATTCCATTTGCACTGTTTATTTTCACTTCAATACATAGAAAAAAGGTCAAATGAATGTTACAAAGTATTTACTATGTGGCCGATATGAATTTTTTTATATAAAAGAATTTATGAAGTGTAAGGGCTTAGGGTATAGTACGAGTGTTCATTACTTATACCAAAACGTTAATATGTTTATGGACTTACCATTTTTTGCTTAATTCCTTTAAAAAGTTTGCGAAAACAATAGTTTAAAATTAAATCAAATGAATAATAATATTCAATACGCCGAAAATTCGTAAGAAATTTTTCACCTAGTACCGCACAAATGGATGGAGAAATGGAGAATAATCAGCTGAAATGTCAGATTTCATATTTTGCTTGGAGTGCCGATGGCGAAAACACGAAGCATGCAGTGTTGCATTTTTGTTTTTAAGGCCAGTACATTTCAGAAGTGAGAATTTCTATAAATCTTTAGGTTAATTCCAAATTATTATTGTTTTGAGTCAAGTTAAAAATTCATTATTAAAAGTACATTTATTATTTTACAACATAATCATATTGAAAACAATGAAAATTTAGTTAATCAAATTAAATAAATGTAAGGCTGCATTTAAGGGCAAAGTGTAAATCTTTTCATCAAGCTAATAATTTTTTTTGAAAATTACTTTCAATAAGTGTCAAATATATACAAAACGGAATGAAATTTAATCCTTCGGCATTGTTTAAATTTGTCGTAACTTCGAAATAATTAATCCTTGGCAAGTTTTTGAAGAAAACACAATTTCAATTTAAAACTTATTAAACTATCTAAGGACAGGCTCATCGCACTGCTTAGTATAATTTATTATAAGCTACATATAGCTACGAATAATATAAAGCAAAATCCATTCATATATACCTTACAAATTCAAACACATAATCATATTTTATAGCCATTATAAGAAAAAACATAAAGATAGGAGAATAAATTTCATGATCGATTCACAACAAAGCTGTCTACACAGCTTGAATACTTGGATAAAATCTTAGTTTAACTGATTGTTGTTACAGCGACCTTCATTTGTATTTGTTCGTTTGTAAAAGCTGATGCCCAGAGTGGCGCCAAATATTAAAAACTGCTTGAAAATCGTACGCATCCGACTAATAATACAACCACTTCATATATACATCATTTCTGCCATAGTTGACATTTTCTTCGGTATGTGTACAAATGTGTCAAAATAGCTGGCAAGTTCATCGATCGTTACATCGTCGCTGGTACCACTGCTATTTGCAATTCCGGTGGCACCGTTTCCAGCTTGCTGTGAGCATGATGTACTTGAAGTGGAACGGGTATTATTTCCAACATTTCTTTCAGGCGAACAAGCTTGAGCACCGGTATGTGCAAAACTATTTCTCTCTTTGTTACTAAACAAACTTCGTGATAGCATAGATGACTGCATGGTTGTAAAATTTTTTGAAACACGTTGATCTGGACTCACTAAACCAAATCGTCCTTTGACATCATTTTCTAAATTTAATAAATTTTCACATTCATGAATTAAATCACGAAAATCGCATATCCCTCTACTCGATCCTTGTGATACTAAATTCTTATTTATTGACGAATTCAGAGCCTTTCCCATTGCAGCTGTAGAGGTTTGCTCATTATCAACTTTAGGCAATGTGTGCAGAAGCCTCTGTAAATTTTGCAGTTTACGCAGCACGGGTGGTCGCAAAATACTGCGTCGATGCTTTAAAGATTGTCGTTGAACTCCTAATATAGTGTGTGTTTCACAGGAAACATCGGAAGTATCTGTTGATAGAACCGTCGTTGCGGATTTGTATGCATCTGCACTACTCTCGGAACGACGACGCAATCTGCAACGTCGACAACCTTGATTATTTCTTTGCATTTGAGTTGAACTCGTAACAATCTTTCCATCTTCAAGTTTTAAGTCATTCGAATTCGCATCATCTTCGTAAAAAGGATTAAAATTTAATGGTAACTGTGCAGTATCAATAAGATTAATCGCGCCTATGTGGGCTCTATCCGTTGAAGTGATTTCCAAATTATGGAGTTTGCTCGAAATTTCTTCCGTCATTTTGGAACTTGCTTTCATACTGTACAAAAAGTTAATTGCACAATTTATTTTAGATTTCTTGACTTTACATTGACCTAAACTTTTTGTAAATTGACGAGGAAAAATACGCTTAACAAAATTTTTGCCAAAAATTTTATATTTTCACGTCCACAACTCTTTTCTTCGTCTCGCTTGTTTTCAAGTCATATTTGTTATTGTTTATTTGACTTGATTATTCACTATGCTCTTATTACCCAATTCGAATTTTTTGTTTTTTAAAGAATATTAACTTTATAACGATGCGTAATTTTTGTTATTTCGCTCAATATTTATTACTGGTTTTATGTTGATATTTAAGACAAAAATTTTCTTTCTGTTGTAGGTGATTTGCTAAATCTTCTTTTCTTTATTTTTTCTCTATCATACGTGGTGTGTTCAGTGCAAGATGTTGCTCAGTTAAAAGATGGTGAGATTGAGAATTTTCGTAAACACATTCGAGGATTGATCTAGAAAAAAGGATCAAATATCCTTGTTATGTTCTCAAATACATTTTTATAATAAGAGCGTTATTATTAAATAGTGATGAAAGTTTAAATATTTTCTGGTTCAAATTAAAATTTTCACAACACTGAAATTATAGCATAAAATCATAATAGTTTCGCAAATATTAATGAACACGAATGTTAAAAATTTATTAATACGTTATAATAATAAGAGACAATAGTCAAAATATATAAATCTAAAGTGATTGCACTAATTGATAACGTTTTTATTTTTGCGAAAACAAATGATTTTTTGTGTAATTGCTTTTGTTGTTTTAATATATTATTAAATTTTTCAAATGTGGCATCATTTATCAAGTTGAATAAGTTTGAGTGACTTTTTGCTGCGAAGTTTTCGCCCATCGCAAATTGTAAAGCGAAGGTCTAAAATAAACCATAATATTCTCCGTTAACTAAAAGAAAAAGCTGTTTTATTTATTTGGTGTTCTATGATGTGTAGTTAATATACAGAGCAGAATTCAGTAGCAAAGAGCAAATCGTAATCCTGTTGTGAAACTCATCTTGGAAATTTTCTTTTTGTCAATTGTGTGAATAGAGTTTCCAATTAAAAGTTAGAAGAGTGTGAATGAAAAACGGTGATAACTGTCAATAGTTGAATTGTAGTCTGGCAGCTCTGATTGTCCGAGGATTTTGCAGCACAGAAACGGAAAACAACGAAAATGACGGAGTAGTTTAATAAGTGGTGAGTGAATGTGATTGCTAATTAATATATAATTTTTATACCTTATATAGTGTATTTCTAAAGTTTTCAGTTATAATTAATATTTAAAAGGTATTAGAAAATTTGTTAATTTTTTATTAAAAATTGTTAGTTGTGGAAATCTTACGAAACGATAGTGAAAACGTCCATTTGCATTTCTTTGACGTTGAGCTCCTCTATTTTGCCCTTCAGTCAAACCAATTTTCGAGTTTTTATTTGCTAGCCCTCCCTTCGCACTACAGCCCAATCATCAAATGGTAAGAGCTAAAATTTAATTCCATTGCACATTCATATTAAAATTGATTTCTTCAGTTTTTTACGCAAACATCTTCCTATTTATTTTCATTTTTTGAAATTACATATTTGATTGTTGTGCACGAGAGAGTACATACGAAATATGTAATAGGTTTGGACTAAATTAAAAATAATAAGAATAACTAAACGACAGCTAAGTAAAGTTAATGAAAAAGACGTGTGCCTTTGTTCCAAGATTTGTGCCATCGTTTTCACTGTCTGCTTTGTCCGTCGCGTGTCTTTATTTGTGTATTCACAAGAGTCATTAGCTCATGTGTGTTCATCTTTTGGAAAAGGTGTGCAAATCATTTCTTGCTTATGTACATATGTATATACATGTACATATCAAAAGTTGTTGTGCTGAAGTGATTGTTGAGCTTTTAAGATGTCTTACAATATGTGAATAAATATGATCGGAGAAAAATATTTGAATCTCTTCGAGAAGTTTTTTCACATTTTTATATACAAGTATGTACCTTATCAAGATGAGAGCCTACCTTACCTAAGTATATGTTTTTGGGATATTAACCTCACTGGAATTTATTTAATGAAACAAGCAAAATTTGAAAAAAAAGCCCACAATTTCGTTATTATTATTTTTTGCGTTTACCGTTTGACAGGAAGGCGGAAAGGTACCGTTTCACTTTGGGTATAAAGCTATGTAATGTAATATTAATTATTATTTTGTTATATACTTAAAGTTTTGTAACTAAAAAATAATGCTGTTTACTTTGCAGATTTAACTCAGTAAAATATAATCGATAAAACGAGTCATCAAAAAGTGGAAGTGAATTACGAGAAATCCGAAGGTATGAAAAATAACTTATTAATGCATATATTATAGTATTACTTTAAACGTACTTGTTTAGAACGCAATCCTGTGACAATATTATCGAAAGTAATTTCTTACTTTTACAAGTACTAGAGTTGTTATTTTGATGAATTAATATTTGAAAAGTACTTAATAATTAAAATAATTTATAATTGATTACTAATTACTTATATAGATGTATATGTATTTTGTATATTTGTATAAAGGTGCTTTGGAAACGACTCTCGCAATTATGATTTTTTAATGTGTTTTACTGCGTACAAACACCCTTGATTTGTATATAAATACACAAACTTAACACATTCAAATTATATTCTAATCTCACACAAGTCAATACTTTATACGCAGTACGATTTGGATTTTTGGTTTTTACTTTTTTACATATGTATATGTACATATTACTTTTTATACCCTGAACAAGGATGTATTAATTTTGCCAAGATGTTGGTAAAATCCAAAGAAACACTGTGATTTTGTAAACTGGTTTCATGAGAACAGACGTCTTCTTAATTTGAGAAGGTATTTTTACGAAGTTTGCCACCGATTATTATCCATTCCTTAGCTACAATTTTTAAACAAATTTTGTAGATTGAGTTGAATTTAAATAAAGAAAAAGCGGTTTGACTAAATTGCTTCAGGCAGGAATGTGTTTTGCCGCTACAACAACAACATCATAAAGCCGATTTAATTTCAAAATCCGTGTTCTGAATAATTTTTCATTAAATTATCTGTAAATAGCTTTATATATTTATTTCTTCCACATACAATATAATTTTTTATATTTAAAGAATTTTAATATTTTTAAAGTCTACCACTTTTGAATCACCCCATAAAATAATTGGCACAAACATTTCAACTCTAGTGGCAGTAAATACAAATACATTAAAGATCAAATCAAAAAAGGAATTGTTTATATAAATATAAATTTTCTGACTTCAATTTATCAAAACTTCAAAATTTCAATATAAAATTAATTTTTTTTTTTACTAATTCAATTGCAGATGGGGGACGTTGATCCAGAAACACTCTTAGAATGGCTATCCATGGGTCAGGGGGATGAGCGGGACATGCAATTGATAGCCTTGGAGCAACTATGTATGCTTTTACTTATGTCCGATAATGTTGATCGGTGCTTTGAAAGGTGAGTTATTACTAAGAATTTTTGGAAAATCCGTTTCATTTACTTTTGCATTGGCAATTAATGTTCAATTTCTCACCATATTGCAACAGTTGTCCACCACGCACATTCTTACCAGCGCTTTGTAAAATATTTTTGGATGACCTCGCACCAGAAAATGTCCTCGAGGTTACCGCACGCGCTATTACATATTATCTTGACGTGTCAGCTGAATGCACCCGCCGCATAGTGGCTATCGATGGTGCTATTAAAGCGATTTGCAACCGTTTGGTTGTCGCCGATTTATCATCGCGCACCTCACGCGATTTAGCCGAACAATGCATCAAGGTATTGGAATTGATTTGTACCCGTGAGGCGGGTGCCGTCTTCGATGGTGGCGGCTTAAATTGTGTACTCACCTTCATACGTGATTGTGGTTCACAAGTACATAAGGATACATTGCACTCCGCTATGGCGGTGGTGTCACGTCTCTGCACCAAAGTAGAACCGAATGCACCATGCATTCAAAATTGCGTCGAAAGTTTAAGTACACTGCTGCAACATGAGGATCCAATGGTAGCAGATGGTGCGCTTAAATGTTTCGCTTCTGTTGCTGATCGCTATACGCGCAAATGGGTAGATCCAGCTCCTTTGGCTGAGTACGGACTTGTGGAAGAACTGTTGAAACGTTTGGGCAATGCTGCGGGTCCTATCAATAATACAACAACCACAACCGCTGCCAGTCCAGGTGCAACTACCGGCGCTTCAACCTCGACCACCAGCACTGGCAGTGTTAGCAATAACGACAGCATAAGTAGCGTTACTGCAACAATAGCTACGCAGAACAAACCAACTGCAACAAGTGATCCCTCAAGGACATCACAATCGATTTCAACAACCATATCTTTGTTGTCCACCTTATGTCGTGGTTCTCCGCTTATTACACACGATTTGTTACGCTCCCAATTGCCAGACGCAATTGAACGTGCATTGAAGGGTGATGAACGCTGTGTATTAGATTGTATGCGTTTGGCCGATTTACTTTTACTATTACTTTTCGAGGGACGTCAAGCATTGAATCGTGTTGGTGCAGCCGGTGGCGCTCAGGGACAGTTGGCGGCACGTGTACGACGCAATGATTCGAGTGCCGAACGTACACATCGCCAATTGATCGATTGCATACGTTCCAAGGATACCGAAGCGCTGCAAGAAGCTATCGAATCGGGTGGCATCGATGTCAACTGCATGGATGATGTTGGTCAGACCTTACTAAATTGGGCATCCGCCTTCGGCACGCTTGAGATGGTCGAGTATTTGTGCGAAAAGGGCGCTGATGTGAATAAGGGACAACGCAGCTCATCCCTACATTATGCCGCTTGCTTTGGTCGACCAAGTATAGCGAAAGTGCTATTAAAATATGGCGCTTATCCAGATTTGCGCGATGAGGATGGTAAAACACCACTAGATAAAGCACGTGAACGCGCCGATGATGGTCATCGTGAGGTGGCTGCCATATTGCAATCACCCGGCGAATGGATGGCTGCTGGTAATTTGGCGGCCAACAAGGACGGCGCCGACGATAATGGCACATTAGAACCGCGTGGTGATCCAGAAATGGCACCAATTTATTTGAAATTATTTTTACCGGTTTTCTGTCGCACCTTCCAGGGCACAATGTTGGCCAGCGTTAGGCGTGCCAGTCTTGGTCTCATCAAGAAAATGGTGCAGTATGCGCAGTCGGGTGTTTTAAAAGGTCTTTGTGAACCACAATTGCAGCTGGAGACGACACTTGTTACAAGCACAAACGCGCAAAATTTGGGAACGTTGTTGGTGGAAGTGGTGGCCAGTGTGTTGGACAATGAGGTTTGTACAATTTTTCGTTTTATAAGTGCTTGTTATAATTTAAACAACACAGAACTGTTCATTTGTCGTAGACGCCGATATCGGACCACTAAAGCCTACAGTTGTTATACAAACTGACCGATCAAAATCAGATTATTGAGTGGAAGTTTTTTACTCTGACAATATAGTTTTACGAACTTTAGCATAGATTATCTGCGAACACAGCGCTATAATCTCTGAACAAATAGTTCAAATAGAACCACTATGCTGGCATACAAATTCACCGATCAGTATCAAAATATAATTCCTTTTAGAACATTTTATGTTATAAAAATGTAACTGTGAAGGACATTATAGCTTTTGTGGTGAAGTGAACGTTTTTTCTTGATTTTTACAACAAGTTAGAATCAAAAAATTCCAAAGTCGTTTGATACTTGAAAATTTCGAGGGAACGTTAAATTTAGTTTCAAGAGAGAACTTAAGATATTTTTCAATTATGATGTTAATTTAATTTTTTTTTACTTTCTCATTTTATTTAGGATGACGATGATGGCCATTTGGTGGTGTTAACTATTATTGAAGAACTAATGAGTAAAACACAGGATGAATTTTTGGATCATTTTGCACGTCTTGGCGTATTTTCTAAAGTGCAGGCTCTAATGGAGCCGGAAAATGAAGTCAATGATGCCACAACAACTGTGCACGTTGGAGCTAACGCTATCACAGCAACGACAGTCGAAGATCAGCTAAATCAAAGTAGTAGTAACGGAATAACCAGTTCCACGCAGCAGACCACTACAGCAACAGGTATATATGAATAATTTAGTAAAAAAAAAATATATATAACTAATAAATATTTGAAATGTTTAGGTATTGGTATCAGGGTTACAAATAATGCATAAAAAATATTTCTGTGCCTCAAGCCAAGTGTGGCTCGAATTAATTACAGCTAAATAAACATATTTTTAATTAAAAAATTATTAAAATATCGAAATTATTGAATTTTTTATTTCTCATAATCTAATGCTTTTTGTTTTTGCACAGAAGACCCCATGGAGGATGCCAAAGAAATTCTTCAAGGCAAAGCTTATCACTGGCATGAGTGGAGTATTTGTCGTGGACGCGATTGTTTGTATGTGTGGTCCGATTCAGCGGCATTGGAGCTTTCGAATGGTTCGAATGGCTGGTTCCGCTTTATACTCGACGGCAAGTTGGCTACAATGTATTCCAGCGGTAGTCCTGAAAATGGCAATGACAGTTCAGGTAATTCAATACAAAAAAAAAAAAAAAAAAAAAAAAAAAAAAAAAAAAAAAAAAAAAAAAAAAAAAAATCAATACAAAAAAAAAAAAAAAAAAAAAAAAAAAACCACCTACAATCAAGTTTAAAACAAATGCATATTTCTACTCGTTGAAAATAGCATAACAATTATTTTTGTTTTTGTGTTAAGAAATACATATATGCGCTTAGTGTGCACGGTTACAATTAAAAGTTTATCCAAAACAAAGAAAAGTGACTAGTAAATACCCAAATGTCTTGCATGGGCCTAATTGTTATCTAATATATCATATACAATATAATTGTTTTTAAGTGTTCCCTACCAAATGCTTAATTTTTCTTTATTTTCACAATTTTTCAACGCCAAACCAATGAAAAACTAAAATTTTAATATTCGCTGTAACTTTTTTACGGCTTTAGCCTTTAGCCATACTGAATTTTGAACTTATATAACACTAGGCTCTATACTATTATCATTTGTTTTCAATTCATTAAAAAAAAAACAATACACCTGTTTTTACGTCGTAGGAAGGGGTCGTGGCATGGATTCTGTTACTAGTGAAGGTGAGAGAATTATACCTTATTTTTTTGTTCATTTGTTTACGTTCCTCATGTTTAGCTTTGTTGTTGTTTATTTTGTTTAATTGATTTGATGTTTCGTTGCATTTGTGCTTTTGTTATAATAAACTAATTGCGCGTCCATAAAATTATTTTGCTAAATTAAATTCGCTTTAAAATTCTTATTAAATTTTGTAACTTATATGTAATTAATTTGTAACTATTTATATTAATTTGCGTGTTATTTAATAAAATACCGATGCAGTTGTATAAAGTGACATTAATTTGTAGCGTCCATTATTCACAATACTAATTGATTAGTTCTTCTATTTTACTTCACACCTAAACCAATTAATTAATCCAACAATGATCCGTTGTGCAAATGTATGTATATTTGTATATTCATTCAATTTGAGAGGTACTGTCAAAAAAACTAAGTATCTTTATTATCGCCTTCAAAATAGGCTCCTGAGTAAATATAAGCTTACCAACGCTTAATTAAATTTTCCATACACTTGTTATAAGCCTCGGTTGTGATCGCCTTCGGTGCCTTCTCTCGGTTTCGGTAATTTTTGAAGCGTCTTTCGCTAAATTTTGTACAGTTTCGAAGTCATAGAGATAAAACCACGTCTAATCAGTATTAATGTTCAATTTGATGAGTGTAGAGTACTTGACTATGTTGTCAAGCTTTTCTTTTGGGACCTCTACTCAGCGCCGTTTTTGCAAAAGATTCAGGATTTTTGGTACACGCTTCATATCGAAAATATCAATCAAAATGTGTTGCGTTGATCCATAAGAAATATTTAGATCCTCTTCTATCACTAAGATGCCAACACGGCGGTTTTCAAGTACTGTTTCTTCAACTCTTTCGGTGAATGCTTTGTTCCGCTAAAATACTCAAATGTTTGTGAGTGGAAATAGACTCCGTAAAAAATTTCTGAAACTTTTTCAACGATTCCGTAGACGCGATCCCATTGGAAACACAAAATTACAACCAAATCTGTTGTTTTATTTTATGGTAAAAATCGACAGATAAACTTTTCACGTTGTAAACAAAGAGCTGTCAAACACACACTAATTGGCATAAGAAATTAAAACTTCACACAAAACAAGCAAAAGCTTGCACTAATCTAGAGAAAATTTTGTATAAAATCGAAAATATATGTGACCTGGTCTACGGAAAGGGGGCTTAGGTGTCAAAAAATCGGATGGAAGATGATGGATTCCAAAAAGTCATAACTTGTTTGAAAGTTCCCTAAAAATGAAGAGAAAGAAGAGTAAAAATACGGTCAATAGACAGGTCAATCTTAACAAAAGTTTGTTCGGTATCATCTTCTGCCTGAGATACACATACAAACATTTTCAAAAGTTTTAACTCAAATAAGCGAAGCGAGTGTACTTGATACCTTTCCTCATGCATATGTACGTATGTATTGCACATTTATTTCCGTTGAGTGTCAAACGCAAAAAACTCGAAAATTCGTTCACAAATATTTTGAAAGACATAAATGATTGGACCTTAAGCTCATTTATATTCTACAAAGAAAAAACATACATTTATATGGATCACCGGTTGAAAGCAAAAAATGTCAAAAATGTGCATAAAGCGTGTGTAAATATTATAAAAAACTACATCTGAACATTAAGGTTGAGAAAATTTACCATATAAACCATATACTAAGAGTCAGTAATAACTCTATATCAAAAATATATTATTTATCACCTCTACTTCCTTTACTGGAAAGAAAACATTCAACGGTAAACAACCTTGAGAATAAACCATGCGTTAGGGCACTAAGCACCCATTAAAAAGATATCGCTTCTAGTACAATATTTTGAAACGTTTCTTAGAAAGAAATTGAAGTTTACACATTTGCTCACCAAGTTTTTAACTTTACTTGCAATACGATCCTGGAAAAGGAAATTCGCATGGAAAAACTTACCATACATATTACCAAAATTTTAATTACAAAGCAACAGCAAAAACAGTGCTCTTTTCTTATAAAAGTACAAGGGAGAAAACTCCACTACTCCACATTATTTTTGGCAAGAACCTGGAGACGTGTCTCTTTATATATTTACCCACGATAGTTGGGTTCACGTGACCAGTAGCTTTGGAGCATTCTAATTTTCATACCTCAGTCAAAATTCACTCTTGATAATTAAATAAAATTGTGTGTGTGTGTCCCTACGAATAATGGAGATATAGTATTTGTTGTCTAAAAGGGTTTTCAAGGCACATCATACAATTTAAAAAATCTAACATATCCAAAAAGTGCTTTTTGGTTAAAGTTTTGGAGTAAAGAAAGTGGAATCAAATTTCTTTTCTTCAGTCTTAGGTATGCCACGAAGTATCCGCTAGGATTGATTTTATGTGTAAGTCAATCAGCCTTTATAGAACCTTCATCGTGAAGGAGGTCAGACTTATAGGAGGTCTAAAGTCTCTGGCGTTATCGTTTGTGTTGTTGTTGTTGCATCGGAAAAAACATTTATGAAGTAAATTCAAGGCATGGTGTCGAGTTGACAGTTCTTGGCCGGATAAAAAACCGAGTCCGCTCCGATTACTTAGACCCGACTGTCTTGGGAACGACGTTATCGTGTATTCTTCGGGGAAGTTAACGTTTTTACTTGTTTTGATTTCTAAAGTACTTTGATTGACTTTTTATGATCGTCATTTTTTTTTTATTTGCTTGTAATCTTGGCCGTTATTTCGTTTCTAACTTGTTTGTGTGAGCTAACTTACTAAATATTCCCCATTACACACTTTAATAATTTAAATGTTTTAATTACGTAACTAATTAAAGCATGGTTTTAACAACACACTGTCAATGAGTGTCGAAATTTTATACAAGTGTTAAAAATTAAAATCAAATTGGATGAGACGTGATATCAAAATTAATTAACGGTATTAAATTTCAATTAAAAACAAAATTTGCTTGTATACTAGCTGTACGTCGTGTCCCCAGATGAGTATCGGCTTTCACATCGTAATATGTATGTATGTAATATAACATTTATCCATCAAGAGCTCTCTTTCATACAGAAGAATTTAAATAAAATTTCTCCGTGTATTTTTAAAAGTAGAAACAACGTATTTTATTTTGAATATAAAATTTTCATTTGATTTCCATAAAATCATTTTTCTTTAACTCACATTTTCCACTTATTGTTTACAGTTGAATATTTTACTCTCGGACCAAAAAAAAAAAAATAGATTGTATATTATACTATTTTGGAAAATAGACATAGGACTTTGCGTTCGTCAAATTTTTATGTTAGCACTACCTAAATCCAATCTAACCTAGCATTTAACACCACGGCATTGTCAATGGTCATATTGTCTTATAAAAATCCATAAATTAGCACCACTAATTTGCTAGTTCGCTGTTCCTTAATATTAGTATAGCGAATAAAAATTAATAAAACTCGCAGTAAATACATTATTAAAGTCTTATATTATTGGTTTTCTTCAAAACATTTCTTATGCACATATATTCACATTACCATTACAGAAAATCGTGGTGAGTTTCTCGAGAAATTGTTGCGTGCACGCTCTGCCGTACGCCCGGGCACACCTTCGCAACCCATACTACCGACTGTAAGCGTTTTGCGACTGGTCGTCGGAAATTGGGTGCTTCAAGCACAGAAACCCAATCAGCTACAAATACACAACACTGAAGGTCATCAAGTGACCATTTTACAGGATGAGTTGCCCGGTTTCATATTCGAAAGCAACCGTGGCACCAAACACACCTTTACTGCCGAGCATACACTCGGTCCCGACTTTGCCTCCGGTTGGTCCACCGGCAAAAAGAAGAAAATAAAAACCAAAACTGAAGTGCAGAAGACACAAGTAAAGAATTTAGCACGCGATCTGTATAATAAATACTTCAAAGCAGCACAAGCTGTGCCGCGCGGTGCTGTCGCCAAGCTCACCTCCATTGTAAAGCAAATCGAAGTCGCATTGGAGGAGCAACGTTTGTCGCCACACTCGAATTGGCAAGAGAAATTACGTACATCACTGAATGAGCTGGCACAACTGTTGCACGAAGACGGTGTGGTTAGTGCGTATGAGATGCATTCGTCTGGGCTCGTGCAAGCCTTGGTGGCGGTACTCTCGAAGAATTATTGGGATAATGGTTTATCACGCAACAAAACCAATAAAATGCTAAAGCAGCGCATAAATATTTTCAAACAATGCATCTTTGATGCCAAGCTGCCCAGCGGTGATGTGCGCAACACCACCGCCAGCATATTGGTGCAAAAGTTGGTGGCCGTTTTGGAGAGCACCGAAAAATTACCCATTTATATGTATGATGCGCCTGGCGCCAGTTACGGTTTACAGATTTTGACTAAACGTTTGCGTTTCCGATTGGAGCGTGCCGCCTGTGAGACGACGCTTTTCGATCGCACCGGTCGCACTTTGAAAATGGAACCCTTAGCCACAGTCGGTCAGTTGGCTAAGTATTTGCTGAAAATGGTTGCCAAACAATGGTATGACATGGATCGTTCTACGTACCATTATCTAAAGAAATTGCGTGAACATCGTCAAGGTATGGTTTTTAAGCATCATTACGATTTCGATGAAGAGGGTATTATGTACTATATCGGCTCAAATGGTGGCACCTGTGATTGGGTGAATCCCGCACAGTATGGTTTGGTGCAAGTGACCAGCTCGGAGGGCAAAACACTGCCATATGGTAAGTTGGAGGACATACTCTCGCGTGATAGCGTGTCGGTGAACTGTCACACAAAAGACAATAAGAAAGCCTGGTTCGCTATAGATCTCGGCGTCTATATAATTCCCAATGCCTACACTTTGCGTCACGCACGCGGCTACGGACGTTCGGCACTACGAAATTGGATGCTACAAGGTTCAAAGGATGGTATCACTTGGACTACGCTTGTCACACACACGGACGACAAGAGTTTAGTGGAGCCCGGTAGCACTGCTACGTGGCCCATAGTGTGCGCACCCGATGAGATGCACGGTTTCCGCCACATACGCGTACAACAGAATGGACGCAATGCTTCGGGTCAGACACATTATCTCAGTCTTAGCGGTTTCGAGATTTATGGACGTGTGGTGAGCATCTGCGATGACATTGGTAAAGGCGCCAAGGAAGCAGAGGCTAAAATGCGCAAGGAGCGTCGTCAAATACGCGCACAACTCAAACATATAACGACGGGCGCACGTGTAGTGCGCGGCGTTGACTGGCATTGGGATGATCAGGATGGTTGCTGTGAGGGCACCGTTACTGGTGAGATACACAATGGTTGGATCGATGTTAAGTGGGACCATGGCGGACGTAATTCGTATCGTATGGGTGCCGAGGGTAAATATGATTTGAAATTGGCAAACTGCGACAATTTATCTATGTTCGAGGGTGGCACATCAATTGCACCGGTCACTGCTGTTACAGCAACCGGCCAAACAGCAGGTGCGGCCGGTGGCAAGAAATTCGAAAAGGCTGGCACACTTACGTCACGTAAATCTAGCTCGACGCCATCACTGCCCGAGGCTACAGAAATCAATCGAAACACGGAAGTGCCTTCTGATCAGGCAGCATCCGCTGATAACTTGGCTTGGAAGCAAGCTGTTGAGGCTATCACTGAGAGTGTCTTTAGTTCGGCTAAGACGCAAATGCTCAATTCCACAGCTGGTAATGGTGGTGATGATGGTGAAAGCGGCGGTATGGGCAGTTCGGCAACAACTGGTGGTAGCGGTGTTAGCTTATTGCGTGAACGTGAAAATATTGCCGATCTTTCGGCCATTAACAACTCGATGCAGGCTATTAATGCGAATGTTGTATCCGACTTGGCTACAATAACCGAAAATTTGGTGTTGACTGAAGCGAATATGTCTAATGTCAGTGGCAGCACAGTGAGTTCCTCAACTGGTTACGGTGGCACTGGTGGCAATAGTAGCCGCAATGCTTTGGCCGCTATTTTCGGCAATGCCGGCTTGGTTGGCACTCAAGCAACGGGTGGCGTTTCAGGCACATCAGCAACGCCATCAAACACTACCGGTCCATTGCTACGCAGTGTATCGTTGCAACAAAGCAGCGATGAACCAAAATCCACAAATATTGAGGCCAACAATAAGATGAATGCCAATAATTCGGCAAGCGCCAGCGGCAGCATGGGCAAGGGGCTTTTAGTTAATTTACGCGCGAATACATCAGCTGGACAGCGTGTGTCACAGTTCTCATCGGAGGCTTTGGAGATGATCGATAAAATGCGCGATGGTGTCGACATGATACGCAACAACACCAATAACATCCTATCTTCGGATATACTTTCACTCTCGGCGGCAAATTTAATGACATCAGCCGTTAAGTTCTCAAATGTGACTGGTAAGCCTGAAAGCGGCACCGATCAGCTTTCCACAGACACCTCGGGTACTTCGGTGGTGGTTGATTGCAGCGCTACCGCAGCCGAAAAGTCTGTACGCACACCCGCTCTGATGGTCGACACAGAGAAACGCAATAATATTGAATTGGCAGAATATAAAAACCACTCCGGTATAGCCAGCAATACATTGACCACCAATAGATCGATTAGTGTTAGCGAACAACAAGCTCAACAGCTACAACCACCACCACCGCAGCTTGAAGTTGACCAACAACATACGGGTGATTTACAGCCTGTTGACAATACACAGCAATTGGGCGGTTCCGCTGATAATGTCAATGTCTCCGTGTCGAATCAAATGAGTGTCAGTGTGCCTAATCTGACGACGACATCTGTTTCGGAGACCACCTCACAATCTGAAGTGACCAGTCATACTGGACTTTTGGAGACTTTTGCCGCCATGGCACGACGTCGCACCTCGCAAGGCACAACAAATCTGCAGAACAACCAAATGATCAGCTCCAATTCGAATTCGAATGAGCGCAATAATCAGAGTGTTGGCACCAGCTCTTTCTTCCCACGTGGACCGAATTCGGTAACGAGCCTCGTGAAATTAGCATTATCAAGCAATTTCCACTCGGGTCTTTTGAGCACCGCCCAAAGTTATCCAAGTCTCTCGTCTAATAATGCCGGTAAGTCATTTACACTTCATATTATTACACTTTTTATCGATAACGGTATATATTTCGTCCATAAAATAACATATTTTACTTTTTAATTAAAACTTTTCTTAAATAATTTTTTTTTTAATAAATTATTATTTTTTATTTTTCTTTGTTAATTTTGATTAATTATTATAATAAACTAATTTTTAATTAAATATTATTTTTATTAATAATTTTTTTTCTAAATTATATATTTTTTAAATTAATTTCTAATTAATTCATTTTTTTAAATTTATATCTATTATAGGCAACAGTAGTGGTTCAAATACTGGCACAGCTGGTAATGGCAACTCCTCTGCTGGTCAACAAGTTCAAACATCTATAAATCCGGCACTAACGATGAGTCTCACATCAACTTCGAGTGACAGCGAACAAGTTTCATTAGAAGATTTCTTGGAGAGTTGTCGTGCACCAGCTTTACTTGGCGATATGGACGATGACGATGAAATGGACGAAGACAACGATGATGAAGAGAACGAAGACGAATACGAAGAAGTTGGAGTAAGTCGATTGGTAATTCTGTTGCAATCTTAATGCACTTTTTTACTTTTTTTATTTATGTGCTTTTCCTGTCTGTTTGCATCTTCTCACTCTTACTACTCTCAACTCTCTAAACCTTCACGACAATCGTGATTTTAAAATCGTTAAAATTGTTCTTAATTACGAAATTGTTGTGTTTTTAATAGTAGTCTGTTTGTTCTATGTATTTTAAATAATTTTACTTGCTTGATATTTGTGATTGTCATAATCTGAACAGGATATATTAAGCTTACCAGGAAGTAAATAAAACCCAATAGGCTAAGTTAGATACTTAAAGTATATATGTATATTCGGCGCTGCGAGCTGAGTCGATTTAGTCATATAAGTCTGTCTGTATAATATACGAACTTGACTCTTAGCTTTCGAGATATCGCTTTGAAATTTTGCTCATGCCCTTTCCATTCCAAGCAACTCATTTGTTGAAACCGCCAATATCGGGCGACATAGCATATAGCTGTCATACAAATTGAACGATCAAAATGAAGTTTTAGTATGAAAAACGTTTTATTTGAAACGACTTTTTTTTTTTATTTGAAACGGCTTTATTGAAGGCAATTCTGACAACTATGGCTTATAGCTGACATTCAAACCGATCGTTTAAAAGCAGAATAAATATCTATAGAAAATGCATAGGGTATTAGAGCTTCGGTACAGCCGAAGGTTACTGTCAATCACTTGTATTACAGAATGCATTCCAGTCTTTCGTAAAGCTTTGTGTGTTTTAATATTAACATTTTATAACAGAATTGTCAACTACATACGTCTTTCTTTCGCCATTTAGAACACATTGCTGCAGGTGATGGTTTCCCGCAATTTGCTGACCTTCATGGACGATGAGACCTTAGAGAATCGTTTGGCCGGCGTGAGCAAGCGCAAATCATGGGACGATGAATTTGTGCTAAAGCGTCAGTTCTCCGCACTAATACCAGCTTTCGATCCCCGCCCTGGACGTACTAATGTCAATCAAACATCGGACTTGGATATACCAGCACCGGGCACCAGTGCCGAATCGTTGCGTCAAGATGAGCATGTACCGCTACCACAGCCAGTACTATCGTTGGTGCTGCGTGGACCCAGCATAGGTGGTGTACCAGATGTCGAAATCGAATTGAGTAATAGCGAGTGGACGATATTCCGTGCCGTGCAGGAGCTTTTGCAAGTTTCGCAATTGAACAAGACAGATAAGTTCCGCAAAGCCTGGGAACCCACGTACACCATTGTCTATCGCGAGGTGACGCCACAAGAGTGCATTAGCGGTGGCATCAGTGGCACTGTCATTGAGTGTGATGATGGTCCGAATACACCAGTGGTATCGTCAAAGAGCGGTGCATCTACGCTCTCGCCAAACTCTCCCATACGCGGCGAGTTCACAACATCTGAGAATGTCACCTGCTCAGTTGATGATGTCTTGCAATTGCTCAGCCAATTGAATGCGCTCAATCAAAAGGAGAGCATAAGCGAAGTAGTAAATACAACAACCGTTAGCGCTGATGCAAATGCAACAGCTGGCGGCAATCTGCCACACGAACTTTTTATGAGCAAGAAAATTACCAACAAGCTACAACAACAGATACAAGATCCCTTGGTGTTGGCAAGCAATTCTTTGCCCAATTGGTGCGAAGATCTGAATCAGGCTTGTCCTTTCCTGTTTCCATTCGAAACACGCCAGCTATACTTCAATTTCACTGCATTTGGAGCTTCGCGTAGTATTGTTTGTCTACAATCGCAACGCGATGTTACATTGGAGCGTCAGCGCATGCCCGGCCTCAGTCCACGACGTGATGATCAGCACGAGTTCCGTGTCGGCCGTTTAAAGCATGAGCGCGTTAAGGTGCCACGCAATGAGAATCTGCTCGAATGGGCCATGCAGGTGATGAAAGTACACTGCAATCGCAAGTCAGTGCTCGAGGTTGAATTTGTGGGCGAACAGGGTACTGGTCTGGGACCTACACTGGAGTTCTTTGCACTGGTAAGTTTAACGCGTCACTAATAAACGTAACAAATTAATTTTTATTTATTTTTTTTCAGGTCGCAGCCGAACTACAGCGCACCGATCTCTGCATGTGGCTATGTGATGACGCCGATCTGGAATTGTCCGACAAAGCTCAAAACGATCAAACTGAACATCTAATAGCCAACGATGACATTAAGCCAGTCGGCTATTATGTAAATCGTCGCGAGCACGGTCTTTTCCCAGCGCCATTACCGCAAAATTCGGAAATTTGCGACCGTGTATCGAAATACTTTTGGTTCCTTGGTGTATTTTTAGCTAAAGTGCTGCAAGATATGCGTTTAGTGGATTTACCACTTTCGAACTCGTTCCTAAAATTATTATGCCACAATAAAGTGCTTTCACGTGGTGTACATCAGATTCAATCGAATCCTGTCTCCGAAGATCCGATGACCTCATCCGTAGTATCTGAGGATTCTGAATTGGCCGAAACTTGCTCGAAACTATTAAGTGGTGTCGGTGGTTATACCAACACAGAATATACCAACGCCACCCCTACCAGTTGGTATGATGGTATTTTGGCGTATGAAAATCTTGCCGAAATCGATCCGATACGTTATGAGTTCATAAGAGAATTGCAAGAATTGGTTGCACGCAAACAGGCTGTTGAGAGCGACACGTCACTCACGCCCGAACAGAGACGTGAATATTTAGCCACACTGAAATTACGTACTAAACGAAATGAGGAAATCGATTTGGAGGATTTAACCTTGACATTTACCTATTTACCCAGTTCTTCTGTTTACGGTTACCCGTATGCTGAACTGGTACCAAATGGCGCCAACATTGATGTTACGCTTAATAATTTGGAAGAATATTGCGATCTGTTGATAAATTATGTTTTGCAAGATGGCATTGCCAAACAGTTGGAAGCATTTCATCGTGGTTTCTGTGAAGTGTTCCCACTGAAAAAGCTGGCCGCATTCAGCCCGACCGAGGCGCGTATGATGATTTGCGGTGAGCAACATCCGCAATGGACGCGTGAAGATCTCATCAACTACACAGAACCCAAACTTGGTTACTCCAAAGACAGGTAAGTGATAGAACACAAGAACACATTCGAAAGATTTATTAGTTATTGACGACTTTTAGTGTTGTAGGGAAGGAAGCTTGTCAGAGAGCATTCGACTTTATAGATGACAAGCATTTCTTATTTCTACTTATACCGTTGTTATACCATGTACGGGCTATAGGTATTAAGCGTGGCGAACTGAATCGCTTCAACAATGTCCCGTTTGTAGTCTATATGTGAACTTGTCCCTCAGTTCTTTTCTGCTAAATAAGAATTTGTTGTTGTTATCGTTGTATCGCAGTTTGTATGGTCCGTTACAGTTACTTAGATCCAACTGTTGTGGGATTGGAATAAGAATTCGTCTTGTCTACTGATATCGGACCACTATAGCATATTGCTGGTTTATAAATTGAACGATCCAAATCAAGTTCTTGTAGGGAAATGTTTTTTATGTGTTAATAACGTATTCCTACCCTTTACCTTATTTACAGCCGATTTCACGAACCTAATTTCAGTGAAAAATAATTAATTTTAGTTTTACCATTTGATTAACTATTTTATTTAAATGTCCTTGCTTAGCCATTTAGATATTATTTAAATACGGTCATATGCAACTATGTTTACGTTTAGCTATTTTTGGGACGCCAAATGTAAATTAAATTTAACTTAATTTTCAATTAAAAGTTTTCTTGAAACCGGCTATTAGTAAGTAACGTAAGGTATCTTTGATTGCAAGAAAAAGGGTGGAGAAGTCTCCGGCTCAAGTTGTCAGACTTGTATCACCCGTGTAAACGCAACGAGCAACACCAAAAGAGAATTTACTCATGATCAGCAACAAAAGTCTTCATATGTAAACTAGGAAAATCCCTATTATTTTTAAGATAGACAGATACTCTCTCTGAGATAAATATTCGTTGATACGTACATGACGACAGAAATCTGAAAAATTTTGCAAAAATATTTGATGACTTTGTTATTAATTTTTCATTTACTTATATTGCAAATATATAATATTTGCTTATATACACATCTATACACTAATATGCAATTCAAACATATTTTTTCTTTACAGCCCTGGCTTCTTGCGTTTTGTCAACGTACTAATGAGTATGACAGGACCCGAGCGTAAGGCGTTCCTACAATTCACCACCGGCTGCAGTAGTCTACCACCAGGCGGTCTAGCTAACTTGCATCCACGTTTGACAGTCGTACGTAAAGTAGATGCCGGCGATGGTAGCTATCCATCGGTAAACACCTGCGTGCATTACCTGAAGCTGCCCGATTATCAGACGGAGGAGATAATGAAAGAGCGTTTACTGACTGCAACAAAAGAGAAAGGATTCCATTTGAATTAATATACATACATAACATACAATATGTGTTTAAATAATTTACTTACATACGTCACTATACATATTAATCTTAAGCATTTGCCGAAATTTCAAATTGGGCGTTAACATTGTTAGGCGTTTCTACGAGAACAATTCTCAGTTGATGGCGATGAAATTGTTTTATCTTTTATCTTTTTTCTCTGCTGAGTTTATTACTATTATTATTATTATAATTATTATTTTTTTTTTGATCTATAAATTTAGGAAGTGTAACTTACATATATACGCTATATATTAAAAAAAACAGGAAATTTTCTTAAAATACCACGTGAAAGAAAAAGTCAACGAAACGACATGAGCATTCTTGTTTTGTACCCAAGTGGTGGCAATGTGTAAAAAAGTTAGGCAGAAACACCTAAAACTGTGTGTGTATGTAATAAAAGAAGAAGAAAAATCAAACCCCAAATCTAAGTAGAGCAAAAAAATAAGTAGTGCACCAACTAAAAGCATAAACGCAAAATTTCGGATGAATATGAAACTGCAAGTGACGCTTCAACTCTTTCCTAAATAGCTTTTGCAACATTATTACACAAATAGTTAAATAATAGAGAGAAAAGGCAAAAATAAAAAACAATAACAGCAAAATACGCGGCAAATAGCAAATTAAATTCACAGATGAAACTAGCTTATATTATGTATATATATGTTTGTTTGTTTTTTCATTAAAAATTAATTGACTTATTGATGACTACCTAACTTACGCGTATATACAATATTGATACATACATACATACATATATAGAAAAACAACTACAATACAATATTTCAATATGTACACAATTTATATACAGGTGTATTATTAATATCAGAAAACCACCAATACCACAAATTTTAAACTGCTTGCTAGCCTTTTCAACAACAACAAATACTGTAAGTAAAATTCGCAGGCAAAGCATTTTTTTTTTTTGGAAATTGGCATATTCCCTTTTTGAATTAAAACCAAAATCATCAGCAGTTACAACAACAACGGTGCCTACTTTTGACACACCTGGCCAGAAATCGTCACGAATAGTATTTGCGTGCATAAATAAAGTGTATTCATTTGTGCTGCAAACATGTCCGAACATGTTTTTAAATTAAAGTTTGAAGCAATGAAAAACGAACTACAATTTTTTAAATGCACTTTTCTGCTTGGTGATTTTCAATAATTATATAATGGAATACTTGCAAAACTAATATTGAAAAAAAAAAACAAAAGCAAGAAATATCATTACTGAAGTGTACCCACAATTTGATAACCACCAAATCCTTATACCATATACTCGTGCATACTATTTATAACATACATACATATATACATATGCTCAAAGTAAAAATAAAATAGCCAAAACAAAAACAACAACTGGAGAGCTTTTTTATAGCTAAAAAGAGCAGCATAAAGCGAGCTAGCAAGAGCGAAAGGGAAATGAGCGCAAGTAATCGGTTGTATGCGAGTGTTTCAATATACAATTTACACAAAACTAAGCATGTATATATATACATATACATACATATGTAGGTAACATGCAATTACAATAAATAAAACAAAAATAACAATAGAAACATAGATAAGTCAAAGGATATAGCAGTCATAAAGGGGCGTATATGTAATGCCAATGCATCAGGTGGGGAAATACAGTAGCAAGTAATGTACAAGTATGTTTGTATAATATTTACAACTACATAAAATACACACAGTGCTTAATGAAAATCATAATTTTTGTAAGTGAAAAATATGAGCAGTTCAGTTGCTATGAAAAAGTATATGTCTGCCGCAGCAGTAATCGATCACAGCAAAAGAGAAAGCTATGCTTAAAAAAATAATTAATAATTGATTACACACACACACAATGTTATTAGACATTTTTTCTGAATAATTTTAAAAGTTACTCTCTTAAAGCAAATAAAATCTTATCGGTAGTAGAAAACTATATACCAAAGTGTTTGGCATTTTAATTGTTGTTGTCCTGAAATAACTTGGATTCATGTTGCAAGGCGAAGGTATAAAAACTCAGCTGTTCACTTCTGGCACCCATCAAGTGGACATTCCAACCCCCTTGCTTTAGGTTCCTTTGTTCAATGAACTAGTATTTCTACTCTCAATGTCGAGTATTCCACGTAGGCGATGTGATCGCTATTTGGAAGCGTGTTTAGGAACTTCAGGCTCCCTGTTGCAGAACCGAAAATTTGCGCAAGAAGCTAGCCCCATGTTATATATGTCAGTGCATCTTCAGCTTGCAGTGGTCAGTATAGAATGCGACAAGTAGCCAGAGTTTATCCCTAGGAAGGTTGATTACATATGTATTCGAATCTGCTGAAGTTATAGTAATTGTTGTTGTTGTTGTTGTAGCGTCACAATTATGTCGAGTGGACAGTCCTTGGCCGACTAAAATTTCCTTCCGACGTTTTCGAGCCGTCGGTGTACCACTTGATTGTATTGTCCCTAAGCAGTAGGTCGAGAGTGGTCAATTCAGTCTTGCTGCTAAGGTTAACCTTGAACTTCTTGGTGTAGTTTACTTTTTTGGTACCGCTGTCCCTTGGGAGGAGAGTCAATAGTGTTTTTCTTCTTCTTTACTGGCATAGACACCGCTTGCGCGATTATAGCCGATTTAATAACAGCGCATCAGTCGTTTCTTCTTTTCGCTACGTGGCGCCAATTGTAGATGTCAAGCGAAGCCAGGTCCTTCTCCACTTGATTCTTCCAACGGAGTGGAGGTCTTCCTCTTCCTCTGCTTTTCCCGCCGGGTACTGCGTCGAATACTTTCAGAGCTGGAGTGTTTTCGTCCATTCGGAATACATATATCTCATACAGCTTATCGTTCCATCGATTGCAATATTCGCCGTGGCCAAGGCGTAAAGGACCATAAATCTTTCGCAGAACTTTTCTCTCGAAAACTCGTAACGCCGACTCATCAGATGTTGTTATCGTCCATGCCTCTGCATCATATAGGAGGACGAAAATATTGTTTTTTTTTTTCGTCGAGAGAGTACTTTACTTCTCGATTATTCAGTGTGTTCGAGATTAGAAATTTGAAAATTTAAATTGATGACTTGAACTAAGCACTGGATGTCATTTGTGCTCTTAAAGTCTCTTCGAAATAAGTAAACCCATAAGAAAAAGCCGTTTCCACAATTCAATTGAGTGGTTAGAAACTGCTTCAGATCATATCTCAATAAATATGAACAAGTTGATATATATTGCGTGCACTGTGAAAATTGTAACCTAGCGGTAAAATGTGTCCGCTTCTGAAATGAAAGGTGAATTATTTACCCACGCAAGTGGGACAAATCAATATCGAATTTTTAGTTGAAAGGGTCATAATCAGTGTTTTAGTGGGTTCCTCAATCCCGTAGAATAACGATCCCCATATAGCACTAATGCCAACCTTACGTCTAGATTTTTCCAGTATTGTTTGGCAAATCGTTCAACTTTATTATGAAAATTCACGTTCTGTAAAGAATGTGTTTTGTGCGCTTCGATCAACTTATGGGCAACATAATCGGCCTACTGAGCATACCATCATCTCTCAAGATGGGTATTCATTATAGATCACGTCCAGCACGCGTTGAAGAAAATATGACAGCCGTAGCTGTACACGGAGACCGTGAAGAGTCGATTCGTTCGCAACAACTCGGGCTTACGTATGGAATGACTTGGCGATATCTTAAATTGAAAGCATACAATTGAACTTCGCAAGCAACATCAAGGATTCGACGTTTTCGAGTCAAGTTTTGTTCAGCGATGAGGCCCATTTCTGGCTCCATGGGTATGTAAACAAGTAAAATCGACACATTTGGAACGAAGAGCAACCTGAAGATATTCAAGAGCTGCCATTTTCCCCAATGGTTTTGTTTAGTTTGTGGGCCGGGAGAATCATCGTTCCATATTTCTTCAAAAATGTTGCCCGTGGTACGTAACCATCAATGGCGACTGTTCTCGCGCCATAATAACCGACTATTTGATGCCTGAAATTAAAGCTCGTGATCTAGGCGACATTTGGATTCAACAAGACGACTTCTCACAAATCGCATCAATCAATGGATTTATTGAGAAAACACTTCGTTTGGGGCCGGTCGATTGGCCACCAAGATCGTGTGATATCACACCGTTAGACATTTTTCTATGGGGATATGTAAAGTTTATACGGACAATCCCGCTTCGATTTAGACCTTGGAGCAAAACATCACGCGTGTCATGCGATATCAGTCGAAATGTTTGAACAAGTCATCGAAAATTGAACTCAACGAATGGTCTAACTGAGACGTAGCCGCGACCAACATTTGAAAGAGATAATTAAAAAAAAAAAAAATAAATGTCAAATAATGTTCTTTCGAATTATAATAAACATTCCATATTAAATTTGAAGTTTCTGTATTTTTCTTTAAAAAAGTAGGGAGCGTCGAAATGGATCACCCAATAGGAAGCTTCGGTGCAGCCAAAGTTATGTTTTTTCTAGTTTCAATATCAAAAGGAAAGAGGATTTTCCACATTTTTTGGTTTTCTATCTGCTTTAGATATTTTATTTTATTGATTAAAGTAAATTAACATCAAAAAGATTAAAATACAATGCAATACATACAATACCGTACAGTAATCGAATAGTAGATAATAAACTACAGTGTTTCTGTTATGTAAGTGTACAAAGTGTTGTCACATTTGATTCTTTTTCGGTTTTCAATTATTAATATTTGAAAATACATTCCTCTAAATTAAACTAAAAATCGTTAATTTTTTATCAATAAGGTATGCTTGCTTTTTAATTGTTAAATTATAATTCTCCACATTATATTTGTATATTTAAACCCATATCAATTAATTTCGCACTTTACCACAGCAGTATAATATGTAAGTTATCAATTTATTAGCGATATATGTATATATTTTTTGATTAACTAAGATCTAATCATCATATCCACGCGCTTATAGAATTTTCAGATTTTCAGGATATTGCTAAATATGTTTGATACAAATTTTAGAAGGGCACACTTAAGTGATTCATTTTCCTATTGTGGTAATTTGTATATATGTACACATGTGTTTAATTGTTTAATTTTTCATACATACATACATACGTCGATCAGTAAGCATGCGACTGTTTTACTTCTTTATAGTTAAACCCTTACGATTAGTATGTGTTTAAGAAAATAACGAACTGAACTGAATACGTTTTAAACAACTGCAAAGCAGAATATTTTGAGGTTATGTTAGGCGGACATATTCACTTTAACTAGTTTTATATAAATTGTTAATGTATTTTGAACTTTTAAATAACTGTTTTTGGTTGGGTTAACACATCAAACCGTTACTCTCTCTCATAAATTTGAGCTTGGGAACAAGCAAAATTAGCAGTTTTGGAACTGAAGTAAAAAAAAAAAGTATTTTTCTACTATTCTTTGTCCTATGAAGTTATCGGAAAATATGCTGGATCCCACTAGCTTTAAGGCTCTGATTGACTGATAGATTTTGTGACATTTAATTAATGTCAGAAATATCCACACTCAGTTGGAGAACGGACTCCGAGTGCCAGTGCCCAACCAATTAACCGATATTTTAAAATCTTATTGGCGGATCCCACTAGCTTTAAGCCTCTGACTGATTGATAGATATTGAAACACAAATTCATGTCAGAAATATCTACACTCGGTTGAGGAATAGACTACGGGTGCCAGTGACCAACCAACTAACCGATAACCGATATTTCAAAATGTTTTTTTTTTTTTGTTTTGTAAATTTGGATTTTGTTCCGTACGGCATATGGAATTCGAAATCAAATAATCAAGTACTAAAATATTGAAAAAAT